TCCCTTGCCAGATGTTTTACGCGGGGACCCAAATGTGGATAGAAATAAATTCAAAACCGTTAAAACTGTGCCCTAGTCAACGGCGACTTTTAGAAATTAGATCCCCTCAAACCAGTCTCTTTTCCCTTTGCAAAAATGGCGGCCCTGCCAGGACTGCCGAGACTCCGCCTCCCCAACGAGCCCCCCTCCCTCGCCATCAGTAAACCCGGGCTCCGCCCCCACACACTGCGGGGTTACACTCCCGGCTTCACAGGGGCGGCGGGACTGCGCTCCATGCGCGGCACCGGTCGTGGTTCCTCAACAAGTCTGCTATTTCTGTCGTCGGTAACGCTCTGGATTTAACCTATGCTGCGCTATTTAGACACTGCTCGTCAAATGAACAGTTGGTAGACAACATGCACCGTAGTATGTTTAATAACCGTACTTATTAAACTTGCAGAATTTATAAGACAGCTGGTAACATATTTTTTCATGCTTGTCAAACAAAGCGTGCAATACAAAGCCTAGAAAATGTGGTATTGTGCGAAAAAGTGACCGTCTGCCAAGAAGTGATCGCCGGTCGCAGGAGCAGTATTGTTTGTTTTTCGTTACTGGGTTTTTAAAATCTGCTCTGTGCTACAGATATGCACGTGTCTTTATTGGTTTAAATCTAATGTAATTATATACATTACAATGATTTGGTTTTATTATAAGGGTTGTATTTGAAATATCATAGTCTATACTACAGTTGTAAAAGAAATAATTTCTTTGTTTGACATCTAAATATATCTTAAAACATCTAGTTATTATAGTCTAAAAAAAAAGATTTTAGACATACCAATCATGTGTAGCCTAAACATTGGGGGAAAAAATACTATAGTATTTCCTATAATCGGGCTAAACCTTAGGTCTGCATATGCCCAACATTTTTTTGTTACAAATATTTGGTTACAAGAAATGTTCAAGTTTCCCACACTTTTGCCATCCATGCAGACAAAGTTCTGTGTAGCCGATTTGCATGTTATAACTGTTTGATCCAGATAACAGCTGCTGGGTACAAACTGGCCAATACAGCTTGAACAAGAAGCACACAATCAGTTTTGGACAGATGATCACTTTTTGGCACAACACCTGTTAACGGTCGCTCTATCCGCATGATTATCTTTTATAGGAGAAATCCGCTGTTTTTATTATGAGGTTTTGTTTAAATAAATTGTGGTTTCCTCTGCTGTTTCCCCTTTTTCCTCTCAGGGTGAAAAGGAGCAGGGTGCAATCTCGGGACTTCTACCGTAACAAGTTTATATGAAACCTAATCTCTGCTATACTTGTGATTTATTACATATATGTCTGTTTTTATGTGTTTGTTATATATCCAGAAACTCACAAAGTAACCTTTGCACACCTGAAAAGACTTGACTGAGTAGGCCAGTACATATGTTTTTATGATTACTGCCACAGGAATGCTTGTGACACTCACCTATACCAAAATCCTTTATTTTAGCACTCTGGCATGGCTGTAAAGGAGCACCCAAATCCGCTACCCAACACAGTAGGAGGCAACTAAGCTGTTATGTAACCCCTTACACAAGAGCAGCGTTTTGTATATTGAACTGATATTAGGAAGGAGTAGCCAATGAAACACTGACAAATAAGATTAAATAATGGACACGGAATACACAAGATGCAGGACATTTGGAGGTTACAACATTATTGCATTTGCAAGAAATCACACTGGGTAGCCAAATGTTTCTTTTTCTGTATTAAGATGCACTTCATAATTAAAGACAGATATAAATGTAATGGAGGACAAATACACCCCCCCTCCCCCCCTTTTTTTTTTTTTTAGGCTTGCAGAAGTTTAATCACACTCAACACAATTGTAAATTACAAATTATTTTGTGCTGAATGTCGGTTTCCTGCCCTATAATCAATCACCCAGTAGTGGTTGCACTCTACAACCCTTTTGATTTATTTATCACTGTAGGTAAGCTGAGATGTCTTTGACAGTGACACACAAAATAATTCTAGCATTTTCCCGACAGCTTTATTATTGTGGTAAATCGGTTACTGTCACCTGTCCAGAAATATGTCTGTAGAAATCCCTTTGACATCATATGTTCAGAGAGGATGTTCTCATCGTTTCCATTCATCGACCCTCCCCCACCCTAAACCGCAACCCCTCGCGCATGCGCACTCCACCAGTAGCGCTGCATCTGCTGGTGTCCGGGCAGCCAGCTTCGTAGAAATAAACTTGGGGGAGCACGGAGGTAAAAATACGAATAATAATAATAATAAAAAGCTTGGGCCCGTCGAGCTACTCTTCCTCGCTTCACGATGGGAAAAAAAACAGCTATGGAGGATGCCACCATCAAACTGTCGGTTTGTCGGAGAGGATAACATTTATCTGCCCACCGTGTTGTCGGTGTGAAGATGATCAGTCTTCTGTGTTAATACTGTGGCGCACAGTTGGTGGGAGATTAATAATTGGCCAATTGATGAAAAGGGTAATTTTTGAGAAATGGTTGGTTTATGATGACATCATACAGTTAGTATTTGTGGGCGGGCTCTGAGCTGCGAGGGGAGAGGGGCGCAACCGGAGAGCAGCTACGACCAGGCGCCATTAGGTAACAATGCAAAATTACTCCGTGTGCTGTGTAAAGAAGCTTCCCGGTGGGTAAAAGCGAAATGAGCGAACGCGACAAGCTATCTTTTGTGCAAGAAAATGGACTATCCGCGTCGAGCGACAAACAGCAGCTTCCTTTCTTTTAATGAAATTGGTCTTCGTTGTTGTCGACTGGGAACAAGATGGCGTCGAGGATTTTTTCCCCCCCCGTTTGTGCTCGGTTCGAGCACTTTTGGGCGGCGGCGCCGTGCGCGTTCTCGCCACCATGTTATTATTTCCTGTTTTCATATCCTGGAAAGTTCTGGTTTAATTCACAACCGCAGCAGAGTGAGGTGACACGTGTGTTTACGGGTTTACATTTGTGCTAGTCTCAGCTGTGCTGGCCGACTAAACCTTGTTTTTTTGTTGTTTTTCTTGCACGTAAATGTGACAGCAATCCTCGACAGAAACCTGTGAATCTGCGTGTATAACAGTTACACAAGCACCCAGTGTCCCGCTGCCACTTTTTACACCAACAGAGAGTTTAGGTCAGGAAAGGGGTAACATTTCTTGTACAACACAAAAACAGTTCAGCAGCTGTACGTTGCAGGCTTTGGTTAGGGTTTGACCCCATCTAGTGGACTATGCAGTTAAATTTCAATGGGAATGACTTTTAAATTTCCCTTTAATTTAGCTTTTCAGTTTGTAATTATATAACAAATTTAATTTTCTTTTTAAAAAATCTTACATGGTTTATGATAGCCTTCATGGAATATGTTTTGTACAGTTTAAACGTCACTTTAAAGTTAAATACTAAGGGAATAAACTTTCCAGAGTTTAAAGTTTCATTGGTCACATATGTCTGCATTTAAAGGAATTTGACTTAAAAAAGAATACACATGCATATAAACAAGGACAACCAGTTAAAGAAATAAAAAGTTTTATGTACAGCTATAGACATGTACAGTAAAGTTCAACGTATAGTCAAATGCAGATTGTGCAGATACTGATGATAGAACTGAATACAGTTAATAAATACAGGGGTATTGTCATTTTAAATACATGAGTTAGGTGAAAGATGCAGTGAAGTGCAATACTGCTAGAATGACACATCAACAAGTTTGTAATAGACAGTTGTTACTGTCATTACAGACTGATTTAATTGTTCATTAATGGATGGCCTGTGGAAACAAACCTTTTTTGTGTCTGGTTGTTTTGGCGGTCAGAAGGGAGGAGTTGGAAGAGGTTTTGTGATGGGTCTGCAGTGATGGTACCTGCCTGGAAAATTACTGGGGGACTTCCCTTTCTTTGTCACACACTACAGGAAAGATACTGACTATAGCAAAGAAGCTGTCCAGATCAAACATCTAAAGAAAAACTGGGATATCACTAAGGGCAACACTTTTTTATGGGGAATATTCACAGGGATGAGCTTTGAAAAAGCCCCAACAATCAATGATAAACTAGTCAGGAGATTACTTCCCACTTCTAAACCTGACACTTGATTGCACTGACCTAAGGGCAATTTTTGCTGTGGTAATTGCAATTATTGTGAGAATATGTTGAGACCTGACACAATTATCCCATCACCAGCTTTATAAACTAATATTACGCATTTTGTGTAAAGACTTGAGTGTATTTTTGGCTACTTTGATGTCGGCCTCACTAAAAGGAGACTTTGGGACAGAGTGGCTGGTGTAGTATGCAGCATACTATTCATACTGGGACTTTGAACTATCCTATGGCCAAACACTACATAGAAGCATTTTGTCCTCCTTAGTCTACACCATCCCTAATGAAGAAAATATTTTAGAAAATCTAGTAATATAATTACTGTTTCTTTGTGTCTCCACACCCTGAAGAAAGCACAAGCCAAAACATGTTGGTGTTTTTGTAATGTCTCTATTTCACTGAAATAAAAGACTTTTATCCTTTAAACCTAACTTGATTGCCTGGGCCTGGATTTTTATGCCTTTTGTTGTTGTTGTTGTTGCTGTTGTTGCTGCTGCTACTGTAATTCGTCTACTGTCCTTTACAATTACGTGTGCATTTTTGCATCACTGCCCTGCACGTGTCCATAATTAAAAAACAATATTCTGAAAATTATGATCTATTATGACACCAATAACCTCATATTGTATTTAGTATAATTCACCATTTTTGTGTTGCACATTCAAATTTTTTAATCTATTCACAGTGGTCTTTCACTGTTGTTCGTCAAATGTAAATTACACAAAAAGACAAAAATAGGCAAAATACATTGAACAGTCATCCGGTTAAAACTTCAAAATTTGCAAGAATGAAACTTTCACAACTGAGCATATCACAGTCCTGTCCACAACAGAGGGAGGCGCTCTAACGTATTTGTATTGCTCATTCAGCCAATTAGCATCGTGGAACAAAAGAGGTCGTCACTCTCGGTCCAATCACAGCGGACCTTGTTGGTAGGTCGTTTATTGACAAGGGGAGAAGGTGACTTCTCGCCAACCTTAGAAGTGTCTCGTACAAAGCTCAACGTATGACCCACCAAAAGTGGGGCTTTGCTAAATAAGCGACCATGTCTTCTTTCGGAAGTGTGTTGGGAGTCTTTCGGGCTGGAAGGCAGCTAATTAGCCGCGGTGTCCGGGTAATACGGAGCAGAAAGTAAGGCCGCTAGCACCTTGGCTAATACGTTAGCTGCAGCAGTTCGTTGCTAATACATCGGTAGATAATAAACAATTTAAACATTATTGCCTAAAACGCCATATTAAATGTAACTTTGAATTCCACATTATTCATTTAGACTTAATGTGTGTCTTCTGAATGCTTTTCTGTTTCAGTGACGTACCACACATTGCGGCCCGGTACAGGCAAATGCCGGAAATTACCGATAATCAGGTGTTCCAGGCGGAGTTCATCATGGGTGCTATGTGGTTTTGGATCCTATGGCACTTCTGGCATGATCCAAGTGCAGTGACGGTGAGTAAAACACGGTTTATTATATACTAGCCAATCGGGAGGCAGCAAGGCATAAAATCATGCAGGTACGGGTTAGGCGCTCAAGTTAATGTTACGTCAGTGACTTTTACTGTGACGTGATTGACGGTTCCCGGCAGACTGGTTTGAGTATTTCTAAAATTGCGTTATCTCCTGTGATTTTCACGAGAAGTATCTCTAGAATTCACTCAGAAGTGTGTAGTGAACATCAGGTTCGCACACAGAAACGTACTGGTTGACAGGAGAGGTCAGATGAGCAACAGAAATCTGTGGCTGCATCATTGTCATTTCCACTGTGGAGATTCTGCGTTTTTTGTTGTTGTTGTGTACAACTACAGTATCTGTTGTGCTCAGGCCTGACAGCAACAGATTGCTAGCATGATTCATTATTTGATTAATTTTATTGATGAAGATTCATCCCTTTTCTAGGGTCACTTCCCCTGGCCGGATGCCTCTAAATGGACAGATGCGGAGCTTGGTATCCCACCAGATGATGAAGAATAAGGTGATTTCTTAAGTTTCTTTTGCCTAAATTAAAACTGGTGCTACTTACCAATTAGGACAACCAATTTTACATGGGCAACATGTAATTCAAATACGAAAGAGTCTTATCCCGGTGTCAGAAAGTCAGAATGCAGGACTTGAACCTGCTCTTCGTCTTAAATTGTTTGTTTTTCAATTTAACAGTAGTGAAAACTCCCTTTGCAAATATTTGGAAAGAGCATTTCTTTAGGCATCAATTCGCTGTTACTTATTTTCGGAACTTAAAACATAGTCACTGTGGCAAGTGTAAAACTCTGGATACTCGTAAGTCAATATTTTTTGGATGCCGACCCACATTCCAAACGCTTTAGCTTGGGTTTCTAGGAGTAGTTAATATCTTTGTCCAAAGACAGCAAAACATTCGTAGACAACTGTAGGTTAAGATGATGGTAACATGGCCGTGGAAGAAAGACATTTTGCAACTTGTAAAAGGTGTTTCTTTTGTCATTATGGAGTAGGGCAGTTTGTGTTTTGGTATTGTAAAAATGAACCAGCAGTAAATGTCTATTTTAGTCACCCACGAAAACATTTTTGTAATTGCTCTACGGAGTCACTTAATTGGAGAAATTGTCTCCTCTTGCAGCAGATATTGTTGACTTATTACTGTAGGAAGAAGGCAGCACCTTTGGACTGTTGATGTGTCACTGTCTTAGCTGCAGTTTAAAGTGTCGGCTGAGTTTAAACCTTTTTAAACGGCACAGGCTGTTTATTCTGAACCCGGTTGACCTGTCATGTAGAAATGCTCTCCTGTAGAGGTCAGTGTTTCTTCGGTTTACCTGCTGCAGACCTGGTTCAACTGAGGTTTAAGTTCATAAAGTTCACTATAGGGACACATTTATATAGCTTGGTCAGTTGTACGAATTTCCAAAATATCAAAAATCTTTTGCCATGTGTATCCCATTGAAGAGCTCTTGAGTATGTCTATAGATGTATTTAAAGTTGTAACACAGAAACAGTGTGCCGAAGAGGTGGTTGAAAGATTGGATTGTGCGTGTGCGTAATTGCTTGCATGTGTAAACATTTTAATCGGACTAATGTGGTCTGATCACAGGAGACACACTAAACTGCCAAAATGCAGTCTAATCAACCAGTCCTGCAATACATCCTCCTTTAAGACAGTTATGATATTCAGTCTGTTTCAAAAGTGTTCATTCAGCTGCAGAATCATTTAAAGGACGTAGATTGTTGTGCCGTTGAACTGTACTGCGTGATACAGACACGTTTCTGTTACTTAGCCAGTCTAAATTACTAAAAGGTGTGAACAAAACAATACAAAGACATGTACGTATAATTAAATACAGTTCTGTAGCCTCAAAATGATCATACAATCACAACAGTCAAACAAAACCTGAACATTGAGGGTTTATAGCATGACTGTTGTATTTGTTAGTATTCTGAGTGTGTAGAATTAGTTGGCAACTGACTGTGTTTTTGTCCACTGTTGTAAATATGAATTTCTTTTGTTTGCAGATAACCATGATGGACTCAAGCTGCAGTGTCTTTGTGAAAATCCTGAGCATTCTGAAAGTCATTGTTGTACATAGACCAATAAAAAAATCTTTAACTTAAACTGCTGTCTTCTCATGTAAAAACATTGCAGTCGAAGTATCTAAAAATCTAACATGCACACCGTAGATTTGTTATTTGTGTTAAAAACAGGGAGTCATTATTTGGGCAAATTAGTTGAGCTTGACAAAATACCAGTATATTATTTCATTAGTTTTATTTACACGCAATTTTTGAAATGCAGAAACAAAATGCAACGCATTAACAGTGTCACAGTTAGCCAGTGTTTGTATATTTCAAATCATAAGCCATTTAAATCTGGAAAAACCATTGCAAGAACCAACACACATAACACAAATGCCAAGAGAGCTGCATATCAAAGCAAAAGGGGACAGAACCTGTACTATGAATACTACAGCTTATAACAAACCCTGCCTGCGGGCCAGCTCGTGTTTTTCAATGACTTGACATGCAAAGAGTTCAAAGGTTAAAGTGTAGTGTAAGAAAAAAGGAGGAAATCAGTCTGGCAATGTGATTAACACTAATTTCGTAGGTTGGTTCTTTGTGTTAGGATTATTTTAAACACCTCATCAGGACTGAGCGATTGCTCACCCAGTCACTTGCACATCATGTGCACAAGTCAACCTGAGCAAAGCTTCCAAAGTCTCACGCTGTTCAAAGAGTGGTCTTAAAGCTACTTGGCAACAGTTTGCCTTGGTGTTATTTACACGGGTGAAACATCTTAAGAGTCAACTTAACAAGGGTGTTTTCTGTGTAACACTGAGCTGAACATGTGTTAGGAGGCAGTGGGGACAATACCAAATCCATGTTATCAGGAGTTGTAAACGTAGCCTAAAGATACAATGACTGACTGGTAAATGCTAAAGCACAGCGTATCCATACAACTTGAAAACCACAACCATGAAATAATTATTTTTGAGCTATGAAAAACAGAAACAAACGAACCTCAGCATCTCCAAAGCAGGAGGTGACTCTTAAAGTCTTGAGTGAGTGCTGAGAACATCCTGTCTGCATCCATGATGTGGCTGGTGGTTAATCGAAGGTTATGTCCATGGCATCATTCCCTGAGAGTGAAGAACTGCGCACCCCGAACAAAACACACATCTCACATCAGCACTGGTATTTAAAAAGAAAAAGAAAACCTCACTCATCCCATTGAAGTTCCTCAATCGTTGACTTCTGAATACATCAACTACTTTGGATTGACCACAGTGGCTCAGAATACTTGTTTTTTTTTTTTTTTTTTTTTTGCTAAATGATAAGTGGCACTATTTGAGAACGCTCAGGTGTAGATATGAAAGTTGACATTTCTTAACCTAACCTAGTCTCTATTCGCACATAGCCCAACACCTCTGGCTACAGGAAGAAGAGGAAACCAGAACAGACAAGAATCAACACAGGCTCTATTCAACTGGGTAGGAACAGATTTGTGACAATAGAAGGTAATTAAAGATTTGTAGGTAAACTGCTACTCAACAGATGATCACATGAACTCTAAAAACATCCACATTTACAAAACATATGTGTTAAAGATAAAAAAGAGAAACCCCCGAATAAAGGAAAAACTCTCAGAATAGCTGAGGCTTTAGGGTCAAAATATAATAAAATCATTACCTCTTTCAATTAATAAATACATCATTCAGAATCCATAAAAATAACACATAAAAAAAAAAAATCAACATCACAGATAAAACGAGAAATAAATTAAGTAGGATATCATGCGAGCCATTCTGAGTTAACGACTCATATTTCCTATTGAAAACAAAATTCACTGAGAGGCAGCACTTTCAGCAACTTCCTTCTCGCCTAAAATTGCTCAGAAAGACAGACTCCCCTCAAACGATCGAACAACATAGTGCAGATTTGGGAGTAGATTTTGCACCGAGTTGTGCAAGTCCGTAATGCATCTATTTAGATTTTTATTCTGCAAACAGAAGAATGCAACCAAGTGCTGCCTCTCACTCTTTCCTCTCTCCTCAAAGTCATTATTGCTGGTGTGATTGAGATAAAGGTGGGGAGGGGGGGGGAAGTCAGGGAGGAAGGTGAGGGCTGAGAGGGACAAGCATGAGTGGAGTAAAGTACAAACAATAAGCACCATTTTGAAATTTCAGTTCACCGCCTCCTTTTTAGCACCGCGTTTTCCCCTCAGGGCCACAGGGGAAAAAAATGACCCTGTTTCGAGATACATCTCAGTTTCTCCTGCTCCTCCGTCCCGGTCAGTTTGCCGCAGATAGCCATGAAGCACGTGAAGGTTGTGGGGAAGTAAGGTAGTGGGGGGGGAGTGCGTTCAGCGGAGAGAGGAAATAGTAGCAAATGCGATGCAGATGGATCTTGGCATCAGAAGCAGAAGATATCTTGCAATCTCCGTGGCAAAGCAAGCATTTTTGTTGTGTGTTTGGTAGACCTCCTACATCTCCTTTGTCCATTCGAATGCCCGCAGGAGCTTCAGTCCACCGTTCCCTGCAGCAACATGCTCGCCATCTCCGCTTCCTGTAGCTCCTTTTCTGTTTTGTTCTTAGTGTGCTTGTAGTGAAGTCGTGCACTTGCTTATTTCAAATCCAATACCCTGTCTCCTAAGCATGCACAGTGAGCGTGTTTTACGTGTCAAGATTCGTTCAGTTACGGTCGTCTCCAGGCAGTGTGTTCGTTTTTTTTTTTCCTTTTTTTCTTTTCTTCCCCCATTTCTACAGAACAAAAGTGTCTGGTAACAAATACACAAATGTTTCTTCTTTTTTTCTTTTCTCCTCTACACCCCAATTCATCATTTTACTTTGGATGTTTGAGAGTGTTACACAAAGACGCGACTGTGTCTGTTGAGTTTCAAGATCTTCCCCAGTCTCTGCTTGGCTGTGGCCATTCCTTTTTTGGGCCTTTTGCCTGGAAGAGAAGAGAAAAAGCAAAACAAATCAGACCACATGTCAGTGTAACTCGTTCATTGGCCGCAAACGGTAACAAACAGGGAATACAATGTTTAAATGTTTTACTTAACACAACTTTTTATTAGGGATTAGTTTGCCAATTATTTCCTCAAAATAATTCTTAATGTGGTCGATAACGAACATGTTCTTGTGTGTCATGAAACAGAGAAAAAATATTACAATCTAACAGAGCACAAGTTTGCAGTTCTAAAATACCCTCCAGACAAGTTTGACATACATACGTGGTAAGATAATAGCACTAATAGTAATTTGGGTCAGGTGGTTTTTCTTGCTGAAAAAAAAAAAAAAACTAATTAAAAATCCTAATCATCCAGATTCTATGGATATGCAAACATTTCTTATTAAAAAAAAAAGTGAAAGTGCTCAACACAAGAGGCCTCATACTTGACTGAAAAGTCCACTCACAGTGTTTTCACTGTGGGGGCTTTCTAGTCTTTGACCATGATTGAATTCCAAACTGGTTTTGATTACACAAAAAAATCGTAGTCGTACATCTATCACTGTGTTTCCACATAACTGCCAAGTGAATTTCTAACCAAAAACATAAAAAAGAAAACGTGAATTTGGCTTGTTTTTATTAACAGCTTTGGAGCAGATGAACTCAGCTGCATAGTTTTGACAGAAGGTACTGGTTACACGTGACTGTAATCAACAGAGTAAAAGAAACTGGAAACAAAACCACTTGTTTGCCAACTGCTGAAAAACCTTCAAAGAAGAAGAAAAAAACTAAAGTTTTGCCGCCCGCAAGAGGAAATGTCGTGAAGTCTTCAGGAATTGTTTTCAAATGGGCAAGTTGTACTTATTCTTTTATGTGAGCTGTTTTTTGCCCTGTTTAATATTGTCTAAAGAGGAACACAATGGAAGAAGCAGAAACAGCTGATCAGTCATCTGATTTAAATGTTCCCTATGTCAGAACTTATTTGGAAAAGGTGTTTCCATCTCCCAGTATGCACATGAATAATTTCTCAAAAAAGTAAAAAACCACTAAAAGCAAGCACAAAAATCGTGAAATTGGGAATTTTTAAAATCAAATTTTACTGTTTCTATTAACTTTTTCTAATGTAATACTTCAAAATATACAGAAAATACATCTGGAAAAATGGCTATCACGTTGAATGGAGATTTTAGGTGAGTGTAGACTTCCCCCTCTATCAGCGGATCAACATGAAAATATTCTGCAGGAATGATGTTATCTTCCAAACCTTTTGTGGCCTGATTGCTGATGGGTGGGGGGTTGGGGGCGTGCCTCTTGGAAGGGTGCAGCGGTGGAGACAATGAGGGGTCACAGTACTGGTAGTCCGTCTCTGGGCTGGGGAGCCCCTGATTGTCCCAGGCCTCGCTGCTGCTGTTGCCCTGACTGTCCATCGGGCTCTTGTCCACCTGCAGACGGCGCTGGTGCTGCGCCGGCTCCCGCGGCGAGCACTGGCTGGGGCTGGACCACCAGGGCTCCTGGGGCGAAGCTACCTTCTCCGGCTTGGAGGTGCACAGCAGACCAGCCATAGACAGCATCCCCTGAATGGCCTCTTCTGTGCTGGGTGAGGTAGGACGTTCTCTGCAGGGGACAGAAGGGAGCCTTATGACCTCACTACATACACAACAATTTATGACACACACAAACTTATGACACATTTGAAAATATGCATCTTTGCATGTTTTTCCTCACCGTTTGAGTGGTTTGTGTTTGTGCCTGAGTTTCTGGCCAGACTGGTCCAGCTCTATGGTGTGCCCTGAGCCTGTCTGCTGAGATGAGCCCCTCTCCTCCTCCTCTTCCTCCTCTTCCTCCTCCTCCTCCTCCTCTTGGGAACTCTCTAAATCCTCGTCAGAAGACGATGACGACGACGACGACGACGACGACGATGCTTTATGCTACATTGACAGAGCAATTTCAAAGAGATGCATCATTGATCACAGCATGGATAATCAGCACACAGTTCTGTAGAAGGAGGGTATGCTTATCATAACAGCACAGCGTTGTACTGACTGTTGCATTTCTAATTCTGTGATTGTATGTAACACATTTAATATATTACTCTCCATGTTCTGTGCCTGTTTGCATAGGTTTCACTGGGGTCAATATGTTGTATATGCACTCTGCTCAGATTGT